CTTTATTACTTGTCACGATCCGTACGCTTGCGAAATTCGACGAACATTAGGCTCTTCCTTGCATTATATATATGAGGAGTAAACCTCATGGAAAAATCATCCTACACAATTTTTAATCCTTCATATTTGATATTAGTAAATTCTCTTTCTCTATCCATGATTTTTTTCCTAGTTGAGTTTTCACATAAATCTTGTATTCTTATTATTATTTTTCATATTGCCATATTCTCGTTTAAGTTTTTTAACAAACTGATATCAAAGCGAGGCTTGATCAACTCGGAGCGATGTTTATTTTTGTGATGGCAAGTATGAAATTCGATATTCGACTTTTGGATCGCAACATTAGATTTTCATTATCATGTAAAGATGTGAGCAGTGCTCGCTCAGATGGATTTAGATGATTCTTTTTTGGGGTTTGATAATATGTCCATAACTTGGACGTTGGAGTAGAAACAATGTAAAGATCGAAAGGCTCTATCTCAAATTTATTTTCATCTTTTTGAATCAAAATTTTCAGGACTTTTTAAAGGAGAAATCACCACTGCGTCATGGCTGAATTTGGAGCAATTATTGATAACGAAAAATCTAACTAGTAAATTGCATTTGAAGCAGCATTTATATTCTCATCATATGACAAAAAACGAGTCCATAGAAGATCCCCTAAATGTCTTTAAGAAAATTGTCGCTAATTTGGAGACCATTGATGTTAAGTACGATAAAGATGATTTATGGTTGATTTTATTGTGTTTTCTATCCGTTTCATATATGACACTCAGAGACATCATTTTTTATAGTTGTGACACTCATAATTAATAAAGTATATGATACTCTACTTTTTAAAGGAAAAGATGGAACAACTTATTAGATCTAAAACTCAAGCAGAGGGCCTTGTTGTTCATGAGAATTTTTTAGGTGTTCATAAAATGTGCCACATCAAAAGGGATTGCTATAAGTTACAGAATAAGGATAAATTAGTATTACAAATTAGAAGAGAAAATAACCAAAAACTTCAGGATAAGCCTTTGCAGAAGATGGTTACAGTGACGGAGAACTTTAAGATATTTCTGACAGCGACTCCAAACCTAACGATTGGATTTTTGATATAGCTTGCACATTTTATGTGCTCTATTTGTGGTTGATTTTCAACATATGAAACTATTTCTAAAGGAGCTGTGATAATCGAAAATTATGCACCATGTAAGATAGTTGGTATTGGAAAGGTCAGAATTAAAATGTTTGATGTAATTGTCAGGACACTTGGTGATGTAAGATATGTTCTAAATTTGAAGAGAAATTTTATTTCCTTGAGTACTCTTAATACAAGAAGGTACAAGTACACTGGTAAAGGTGAAGTCCTAAGCTTAGTACCATTGTAGTTTGGTTCATAGTCTATATTAGAGAATATATCTCAAACTTATTCAAAAGTTAGGGGATATGCTTGTCACCAACATTAGCGGTGCCATAGTATTCTATTACTAAAAACAAACCCAGAAAAGATATTAGACATTCACAAAGCTTATACTTTGAATGCAACTGTGTTTAAGCAGGGCTTGGACTTAATAGGAAATTGTTGTTAAGTTTGCCCGTATGGACTTTTGTGGAAGATGTGGAGAGTTTTATTAGAGAATTTTTAGATTTTTTGTTGAAGAGTTATTATTTTAATCCTTGCATTAAATTCGTTTCAAGGTGGAGATTTGTTAGAATTCGATTGTGACCCAAATGATATTTGAGAGTTCTATTAGGAGTTGATAATTGAAGAAGTTAAAGACATAAGAAAGGACAAGATTCGCATTGAAGACCGCTCGTTGGCCACTCATCAAACGCTCGAGCAAAAATTTCAGTAACATCACCGCTCACTCTAGCCGTGAGGGCACCGCTCGAGCAGTTGTATTATCTGGTGCAATTGGATTTCATGGATAGTTTCTCTCTCTTATTCAATCTCAAATACTTCATTATTGGATATGCTTACCATATTAAAACTCCACCTTATGTTAAGCTCTTATTTGCATTATATATACAAGGAGTAAACCTCTTGAAAAAATTCATCATACACAATTTTTAATCCTTCTATTTTATATTAGTGAAGTTTCCTCCTCTTTTTGTGGTTTTCTTTAATTGGGTTTCCATGCAAATCTTGTGTTCTTGTTATTATTTTTTCATATTGTCATATTCTCGTTTAAGTTTTTTTAGCATTTTAAAATCCTCGTCAATTGTAATTTGAACGAAATAGAATTTTAAACAATTATTTTTTGTGATGTCATGTTTCTAGAATTCATTTTTAAATGGTTCACTGCAACATCAATAACTAAATTTTAATGAACCCGCAATTGGATCACTCACCTTTAATTTCGAGCAATAATATCATTTAACTTTGATTTACGAGCAATCATGGTCACATCATCTATAACCACTAGTTTAACTAAGGTGATAAGTTGACGTGGATGTTAAAACTAATGGAGATGATGCATATGAATAATGAAAAATGATTGACAATATTTTCTCCTGTTGAAGTATGTTGTAATGAGTCAAAAATATGTTTTTGTTTGAGCATTTTTTAAAAGTGTATTTTAAGGTGAGTGATGTAGAATGTTGTGTTATGTGGAAATACACATCCACTACACCAGAAACAGTATATGGCAACGCACGAAAAACGTTTCCATAGACCTTTTGCAGGGTTCGTGTGCACATTGCGGGCTTTGATGTCGACGTAGAGTTCCAACTTTTTGCAACGTGCATTAAATGTTGCTGTAGATCCTACGGCAACTTTCGCAGAAAGTTTCTACGGCAACGTTCCGCGAATGTTGCATTGCTGTAGACACGTTTTGCAACGTGCATTGAACGTTGCCGTAGACCCCTATTGCAACGTTCGATGCATGTTGCAAAAAGTATCTTTTACAATGCGCAATGTACGTTGCAAAAAGTCGACGCTTCTATGACAACATCAAACATCGCAACGCACGCACAAACGAACGTTGTGAAATGATTTTTGCAACGTTTTTTTACCGTTGCGATGGGTCATTTTACATTTTTAAAAATTTTTAATTCTTTTATTTATACAATGATTTACATAAATTAATCATAAAACAAAATAGTAACATATCAAATAACTCTAATAATCATCGTTAATTAAACTCCAAAATGTAACAATATCCATACAAAATTCGGATTCAACATTCTGAAGCACCTAAAAATCTAATACATTTTCAGAAAAAAAACTACCACAGGCCCTAAGCAGTGAGTAAAACAGTCCCTGACCGGAGGAATTAAAAGAAGAGTCATATTTTCGACATGAGCCTGGCCTTAGTAGCGAATGAAGGCTGATATGAGCCAAATGTTGCCTCAATTAAGTTCACATTGCCATTTCCACGACATCCCCCTTCATAATCTTTTTTGAGTTGCCAAAAAGATACAACAGAAACTAAATAATATGTGAAGTGAATTTCCTCTAACTCAAGTTTTCAGTTCATTTATAATATCAGGATTAATATAATTATATAATATCAATAAAATCATAAAGTGCAAATAGAAACCCTCATAAATTGTAGATTTAAGGCCCAAAACTTATCAAGGCTATCATGAAATCTCTAAGGACACATAATCAAAGGTAAACAAGCACTTCTTGACAAAAGTGTGAAGACATATAAGGCTTGTTGATGAAGTTTCTAAAAATAACAAATTGAAATCTTTATCCAAAAAAACAAATTGAAATCATTATTTAGTTCTCCTGCACCATACTGTTTAAATGGAGTACGTGAGAGGAACACCATCTCTATGAACTGAATCCAATCACTAGTAGTCATGAATAGGATAATTCAAAATCTAAAGAAGAGATTAAAGTAACAAAAGAAATGAATAACCTCTTTTTTTCAAATCAAATACGTGCAAGTCACAATCAGCACTAACTTTTTGAGGTTAAAGGGTAGTATTCAACTGGTAAAGTAAAAGAACAAAACAAAGTAAAAAACTCTTCTTCCTGGTGGGCCAATGCTGTTTTATTGGGTGCACAAACTGCATGTTTCAGTGTTGGAGGGCTATGAAATGAAACCCTCAGTATCTTCTTACATATGCTAATTTATTATCCTGCCTCAAACATCAATTTCTCATTTCATCATAATTTCTCTGTCGAAATCATATTGCAGACCACTTACCGTGTGTGTAGGATCGTGCTAGTTTGCAGGATTACGAGTTTGCTGAAGAAATCCTGCAGTTGGATGCAAAGAATGCATTTTTGATTTCTTTCATGATGTTTTCCAGAT